TGGATGGATGGATGGATGGATGGATGGATGGATGGATGGATGGATGCTTGGATGCATGGATGCATGAATGCATGGATGGATGATGGATGGGTGGGTAGACAGCTCACTCCTTACACTCCCAAATGAAACCAGGCCCAATTCCCTCCCTCCTTTCCTTAGTCAAGGCCAAGGCCACTTTTCTGTGGCTGTTTCCAGGAGGCTGAATGAAGGAAAGGCACAAGACCCCAAAATGGGGCTAGGAGACAGCACCAGCGCAATCAGAGCCCTTCCTCCTGTTCAGTCCTAGCCCCACCTCCACCCCCTTCAAGAACCACTATTCCCTGGCCGTTTGTAAGGCGTCCTGGGCAGGCGGGCTCCTGGGAACCAGGCACCAGCACGGCAGGGAGAGCCCACCGGGCTGGGTCTCCCACGGGGAGCAGGGGCCGCTTGAGCGCCCCCTCCCTCCTCACTGCCCCCCTCCAGGAGGTTGGCAGTCTAGCGGCCCGGGGCAGGTGCTGGGCTCTCAGGAGCTGCGGTCTTGCCCCCCAGGTGGGGGGGGGGAGGGGGTGCCGCTGGCCAAAGACAGCCACGAAGGGCCCAGAGCCCCACACGACGCCCAGCAGCCTTCCCTGGCCAGCTCGGCTGTGGCCCCGGGCAGGGGCCCGGCCGGGGCACGCGAGCCGGGGCAGTCCCCTGTCCCGCGCGGGGCGCAAAGGGGGCGGCGCGTACACTTACACCGTGAAGTGGTACAGGAAGCACTTCCAGCCCGTGGGTCTCTCGAGGAAGTTGTAGACACGTCCCTGGATGTGGGTGCGGGTGAGCAGCGGCCGCCACACGCTGTAGATGGACACGCGCGGGTCCAGGTTCACGGTGGGCGGCGGGGATGGCGACGGTGACGGCGGGGCGGCAGCGGGAGGGCCGGGCCCCGGCGCGGGGATGGGCGCATAGAGCGCCCCGGCCACCGGGTTCACGTCGGCCAGCTCCGAGGGGAAGGCAGGCTTGGGGCTGAGGCTGAGCCCCAGCGGCCCGCTGGCCCGACGGCCCCAGCCCCAGCCCCAGCGCCGTCGCTCCGCCTGCGGCGGGGCCCCGGCGGAGGCCGCCATGGGGTCGGCTCTGGAGCGAAGGGCGGCGGCGGCCCGCAGGGGACGGGACGGGACGGGACGGGACGGGACGGGACTGGAGGGGACGGGAGGGGACGGGAAGGGGCTGGAGAGGAGGGGACGGGAGGGAGGAAGGAAGGAGGGCGCGCGAGCTGCCGCCACCGCAGCTGCCCTGGAGACTGGGCTCCCACTCCCGAGGGGAGGCATCAACCGAGCCAGGGAGGCGGGAGCTGCCCGTGCCCGCCGCCCGGGGCGGGGCTCGCGCTGCCTCCCCGCCCCTCCTCACTCAAGAGGCCGCAACCTCTACACCCCCCGCTCCCCGCCCCCCCCCCCCCCCCCCCCCCCCCGGCCTGGGGGCCCCCGCCCCCGCCCCAGGGCCCCCCCTGGCCCCCCCCCCCCCTTAATCCCCATCCTCCCCCCCTCCCCCCCCACCCACGCCCTGGGCGCTCGTACACACACAAACGGAGACACCTGCTTCGTGGGCCCCTGGCCTTCTTGCCCCCACCCACGGTCCCCATTGAGAGCGTCCCGAACGACTTTGCCCCGACCCCCAGCCCCTTCCGAGGGGCGGCGAGAAGCCTGGTCCCCGAGATTCTGACTGGTCGCGGCGGCAGGTGGCGAAGCGTATGCTGAGGCAGGGAGACGGAAACCAAGGGCCCGCCTCTGTCTCCAGTCCGGAGGCCATGTCGACCCTTGGGAGGCCGAGCCTTCCCCAACAGGAGACAGCCTCCTCTCCCTTCCCGCCCGCCCCCTCCACTCCCACTTACTCAGCCCCCCACTTGGATTCAGTAGATGGGGAGGCAGTGGGGCCCCAGAGCAGGGATTTACAATTTGCCCTCTTGTGGATGCCACATTGGAGCCCAGAGAGCCCCTTGAGGCAGATGAGCATTGACAAAATGAGCATCTCTGCTCTGCCTGCTCTCCCAGGCTCTTCTCTGCCCACGGACTTCAAAGGTCCCCTGACCCAGAGGTCCTACCGTGTGCAGATCGTCTTCGGCTCTTCCTAGACCTTCCTATTGGAAGCCCTCTCTGTTGGCATCTGTCCTGGGGTGCACCTGTACCAGTCGACTATCCCTGGGGGCTTAATATTAGGGTTAACTTCCTGAGCAGGCCTCCTGCTGCTCTCCCCAAGTAAATCACAACCCCCTCAGGCCCCGTGGGGTAGAGACCCCTCTGCGTCCTTAACCCTCTAGCAGAGTGAGTTGGTGATACAAGTATTTGTGGGGGAGGAAAAAGCTTCCAAAGTCGCCCCTCCCTGGGACTCTGGCATTTTACCTTCTGAATGCCTAGGTTTGGACTCTGGGGGTGCCAGAGGAGGGAGCTATAGGAGCTGGGGGTAGGAGTGCATTTGGAGAGTGGGAAGGCCTCCCCAAAGCCCTGAAGTTACATGGGCAAGGCGGACTCAGAGTGAGTGGGGGTGTCAAACAGAGAACTGTACCTGGAATCCATAGAAGAAAAAGTTCTCTGTGGGTCATGAACTCATATATGTGGAGCCAGAAGGAACTTCCATTAAGTTAAACTCCTTCATTTTACAGAGGGGGGAACTGAGGATCGGGGAAATCGAATGACTTGCCCAAAGTCACTAAGGATATATGTATCCCAGGTGGGATTTGAACCCAGCTCGTTGAAGAAAAATGTCTGGTGCAACATCTGAACCTATTTCTCTTTTAAAAAATATTGGTTACATGATAAATGTGAAAATATGTTTAATTGGAATGTATATGTAGAGCCTCTCTCAGACCGCAAGAAGGAAGGCAGGCAGGGAGGGAGGGAAGGGGAGAAAATTTAAAACTCAAAAGCTTATGGAAGTGAATGTTGAAAACTAAAAATAAATAAATTATTTTTTAAAAAAAGTATTGGTTACAAGAGAAGGTCATTGTGTAGGAGGGAGGGAGGAGATATGTTCAGAAATGAATGAGATGTGAAAACAAAGACATCAATCAGAATATGATAAAGATGTTTGTTTAAAAAAAAATCCGGGCTTCGCTCAAGGCCAAGCCCAGGGGCCGCCTCCTCCCTGTTTCCCCATCCCACCACGTGGGTGAGTCAGCTCTAAGAGGGGAGGGGTGGGTGAAAGAACAAGAAGTCAGCTTGGGCCGTGGTAAGTTTAAGACTTCCATAACACATTCAGATCAAATGACCAGTAGGTAGCTGGAAATGGAAGACAGGTCAGGAAAAGAGGCTAGTTTGAGAGTTATCATAGAGATGGTAATTAAATGTGTGGGAGCTGATGAGATCACCAAGTGAAGGAGGGAGAAGAGCAGAGGGCCCTGGACAGAGCTATGGGGGCACCTACTGTTAAAGAGCACGATCGCAAGGAAGATCCATCTCCGGAGACATTCAAACGGGTTTGAATGATGACAGTTGGGGGATCGGAATCAATGGGATGGGGGGGTTGTTGTTCATTCTTATGACCAGGAGGGGATTTGTTAACCATTGAGGAAATGTGGGTACTTTGCCTTTCTGGACCTTAGTCTCCACCTTTGTAAAGTACAGATGTGTTATAGGAAACAAATGGAACACTGCGGAACCCAGGAACGCAGCAGGAGGGCTCAGGGTGATGACCATCCCGGAAGCTGTATTTCCCCGGAAAGCACCAACGTCACTCATGCTGGAAGGACCCTCACCTGCAAGCTAGGTTTGTGGGCAAAGAGATCTCCAAGGTCCGTCCCAGCTACCCCATTCTAGGTGCTAGGTTCTAGGTTCTCCCCTCTGTTTGGACATTCGAGGAATCATAACCCAAGTGGAGAGTGACTTGGGCCTACCATTTGCAAACCCTTAAGTCCTCATCCCCAAGCTAAGAAGTTTCCCAGCTCCCTAGGGTCTGGGCCTGAGGCTAGGGAGGGTGTTTGCTGTGAGAAGTGTAGAGTAGAAAGATAGCCAGCCAACAACTGGTCTGGGAAGTGGGTGACTGACTGGAAAAGAAGCTTGGTTAGTGAGAGACTTTGGAACAATGAGTGGCCCTCACAGGTGGCATTTTCCTTCTTGGATTCCCTCACAAGCTGGAGGCTGTGTTTGGGACTCTGTCTGGAAGGGCAGACCCTTCATGCTCAGGTCGTCTGAGAGCCCTGCCTGTTAGGACTCGGCTTGTAACTGATCTCTGCCCTTGCCTGCCTCAGCCTAGTCCCATCGTCCCCCCGGATGCTCACCTAGTGCTCAAGGAACTCCACAGTGGATATGCTTGACCTGGGAAGGAGTACCCAGGAGGCCTGAGGAATTCTGACTCTGCCGGTTGAACCGGCAGCTGGCTGCTCTCCAGCTAACAACCCCCACCCCCACCCCACAGCTCTCCAATGTAATCATAAAATCAAAGGCCTTGCGGAGCTTTGAAGCCAACTTTCCCATTTTAGAGATAGGGAAACTAAGGCCCAGAAGAGTCAAGTGACTTGCCCAAGGTTCCACAGGGATTAAGAGCAGAGGCAGCAGAATGCAGGTGCTCCGCCTCCATCCACCATTCCCTTTTCTCCTGACGGTTCACAAATCCATATCATGACAGTCCCCTTGCGAGGAAGAGAAGCTCAGCTCTTTTCCTCATTGACTGATTGGCCAATGAGGAAACTGAGGCTGAGTGGAGAAGTCTCACCCACAGCCATACTAGGAAGGAAGGGTCAGACCAAATCCTGATGGAGAAATCTAAGAAAAAGTCACAGGGAGCCACTTGTCCAGCCCAGATGGGCACTGAGAGACGGAGGTCTTCAGGCAGAGGGGCCAGGTCTAGCCAAGAGCGGTCCTGGGAAACCCTGTAGCTCAAAAAGAAGCTGTGCAGGAGGAGGTGCCGGACCCACGCTGGGGCCCTGAGCTGGGACCAGGTGCTGACTGGCAGCTTGGTCACCCACTGTCCATCCCAGGTCACAGACACAGGTAGACTGAGGAGGGGATCTGCACCCAGAGGTGGCCCTCTGTTCTGGGGTAAGGAGCAGTGCTAGGCCCTAGGAAGTGGACAGAGAGAGGAGCAGCGGTGTGGTTCTGACTCCAGGCGAAAAGGGGCCTTCTCACTTCCAGCTTCTAGCCCAAGGCAAAGGGAATCCTGAAGTTGTCACTGAACCAGCAGAGCTTTCCAGCCAGCCGAGAGAGACCAAGTCCAGCAGCGTCTGCTGGTGCTCAGACCCAAACCCAGGTCATGAACGTGCAGAGCTCAGCTTAGGGGGGCAGCAATCAGCAAGCTTTGCCCCGGATCAGACCAGGGGAGGTCCCAGAATAACGGAATTCTTAACACCTCCAAGGGAGCAGCAACATGATCAACCCAGACATTCCCTCCAGTAGTTCCAGAGTCCTGCCCTAACATCAAGTCTAGAAGTCAGGAGGCAGGCCGGAAGAACGAGCAAACAAAAAAAGAACCCTACCATAAAAATCTATGACGGTGACCAAGACACTCAAGAAGAAAAGAATGACTCCAAAACGTCTTCAAGCGGAGCCTCATAGGAAAACACAGTTTGGGCACAAATTTAGCTATAATTCCCGAAAGGGACGAAGCGAAAGCTTAAAAAGAATAGAAAATATTTTTATAAACGGAATGAGAAGGCTGAAGGAAACTAGTGAGAAAGAAATGAGAGCGATAGGAGAAAGAATTGAATAGGGAATTAAAAGTTTGGCACCAGAAGTACAAAACCTTGCCCAAGAAACAAACTCCCTGAGAATAGAATGAACCACATAGAAGCCATTGACTCCATCAGGCAGTAAGAAACATTAAAACAGAGTCAAAAGACTAAAAAAAATGAAGAAAATGTAAAGTGTGGCATAGAAAAACATCTGACCTTGAAAATAGTTCCAGGAGAGAGAATTTGAGAATCACTCAATTACCTGAAAGTCATGACTGGAAAGACATAATATTTCAAGAAATCATAAAATAAATTTGCCCAGATCTCTTAGAACCAGGTGGCGAAGTGTAAATAGAAAGAATCCATCTGTCGCTTTCTGAAAGAAACCCCTAAATGAAAACCCTCAAGAATATCATAGCCAAAATCACTATTGATTAGAGAAATGCAAATCAAAACAACTCTGAGGTACCATTCACACCTATCAGATTGGCCAACGTGACAAAACAGGAAAATGATAAATGCTGGAGAAGATGTGGGAAAATTGGAACACTAATGCATTGTTGGTGGAGTTGTGAACTGGAATGTAATTTGGAACTATGCCCAAAGGGCTATAAAATGTGCATACCTTTTGAATACCACTTCTAGGGCTGTATCCCAAAGAGATCATAC